TGATGGGGAGGAAGGCAGCAAATCACACTGCCACGTGTGTACCTATGCAACAATCTTGCATGTTCTTCACATGTATCCCAAAACCTAAAATGCAATAAAATAAAAAATAAAAATAAATTAAAAAAAAAAAAAAAGCTCATTGTCTTTGATGGCAAGCTTAGTTCAATCTGACAGCAGCAAGCTCAGTGTGTGATGAAGATATCAGAAAAGCTAATGTGATGCTAGCTGCAGCAGTGGTAGTATCTCGAACATTGGAGGTAACGGTCTTGTTCAACGTTAGAGTGCCGAGACCACAACTGGAATACTGTCTGCCTTTCTAGGGGCCACCGTCTTCAAGGGATCAAAACCACCTTGGCACATGTTCCGAAGACACTTAGGAGCCTGGATACTATTCCATAAAAGGAAAGGCAGAAGGGAGTGGAAATGTATAAATAGGACAAAGCAATGCCTTAAGAGAAAGATATGATCACTATCTTCATTCAGTCATTCAAGGAACATTATTGTCAAACCTATTTCAGGAAAGACATTGTGAGGATGGCCAGGGATACAGAGAGAAGACAGTCCAAATGTGTGAGAAATTCATATGTGTATTCAGATATGTATACATGAAGAGTTGAAACAACCATGATCTTCAAAAAGGATTCCATTGTTCTATATGATTTCATAAGGCAGAAATAGGAGCAGAAGAAAGAAGTTACAAAGTAACTAATTTCAGCTCCATATAAGGAAGAGTATTTTAAGAGTCAAGGCTAATGAAGGGAGAAGCTATCTGGGAAGACTGCCAGGTTCCCATCAGTAACGGTGTACCTAGAGAAGATACTGTCAAAATAAGACAGACAGTAACCTGGACTATCTTGAATATTCCTCACATTCTACACAACGATTCTATGCTTTCCCATGAAATGAATGAAAGTCCAGATTCTTTCTACTTGGGCATTTCAGCATCCCAGGTTTCCTAGAGTTGCTACTTCCAACTCGGTACCCTGTCCCACCCTGAAGCAATGCTTTACATTAATAAACGAGAACAGATCTGAGCACAATAGAAATAATGAGACACTGACCCGTCAGCAGATGGAACACCAAAAATGAATTCTGTTCCATGTGCCTGGAATTTGTGAATTTCTATCCTTTAATTCACAAATTCGATTTAAATATCCATTTATGTTCTACTACTGTAAATAAGGGTTTGTAACATATTGCATTCCTGTTGTCAGCAATTTTTTTCTACTCAACAAAGAAAAAAATCATTTTAACTTAAGATCACTCGGAAAATGTCCTAAATAAGCACTCCAGCACCCTCTATTATAAATTTATGTGGAAACTAACTTTAGAATATTTTTCTTAAAAGGAATGATTCATCCGATATACTCGTCCAAATACCATTAGCTAATCAAATTGTGGAATTCTAATTAAATGGCTACTTAAGTTTAATCTATTTAAAAATCACAGGCAGGAGGATAAACACAGAGAAAAGGTTTAGACCATGTGGGTCTGGCTTTTATAAACTGGTTTAAGATTATTAAGCTTACTTTCATTCATTTCATTTTGTAATTCTGTAAGTGTCATTTACAGGCTTTAAATACTACATCTGGGTATTTAAGGAGCTCGACCTTCCAAACTGTTAATATTAACTTCTTGGAAGCAAACCTTCCCACATTAGCGCTTTTTCTCCATTTGCGTACAATAAATGGGAAACAGTTGGATTTCCAAGGGCTCTTTCTTAAATTGCAGCCCAGGAAGACAAAGTGAGCAAGAAGAAGAGGAGCATCTTTAACCAGCAGCCTTGAAAAAAAGGCTTCCCCTACTGCTGTCTGCTGGCTCTCCCCATTTCTCAACACACTGCCTGCACGCTTTGGTCAAAAAACAAAAACAAAACACACAGAAAAAAAAAAAAAAAAAAACCAGATTCCCGCTTCCCAGAGGCAGGAAGCTCCCTTTTGTAGAAGTAGCTAAAGAAAGAGGCGCCCCACGGGATTTCATCTCGTCGCCAAGGCAGCGCCAACCCCAGCTGTCCGGCGCGAGGGAAGCTCGGGCTGGCCCCGAGCCCAGGGCGGCCCCAGCCTGCGGCAGAGCAGCCCCGGCCGAGCCCGGAGCCCCCGCGGCCGCACAGTCCCGGCAGCGACCCCGGACGGCCCGGCGGGCGACACCCCCACCCCGACCGCGGCGGAAGGCGGGAAGACGCGGCTCGACTTACAGTGACACCATCCTAGGTGACAGCACCAGTGCAGCTTGAAGCACTTGCCATGGCTGTGCGTGGCACAGATGGACAGCCCGTCGCACGGCTGGAAGTCGGGTCTGCGGGCGGCGCAACTCCGCGCCAGGGCCTGAGCCTCGTCTAGTTTCTCGCTCTTCCAACCCCGCTCGGGCGCCGGCGAGGCCGCCGCACTCATTTCCTCTCTCCGCGCGGAGCCGACACCGGGAGCCCGGGAGAGGCGACGTCTGGGCGGGCAGGAAGCCGAGTCGGGCGCAGACGCGGGAGGGCGCGGCGCGGGCCGGGAGTCACGCCAGCGCGCGGCGGCGGCGGCGGCGGGAGCGCGGCGGTCCCAGGCTCGAGGAGGAGCCGCCCGGGGCGCTGCGACCGGGGCCGGGCCTGCCACCTCCTTCCCTCCCTCCCGCCCTCCGCCGCGGCGCGCGCCGCCCGCGCCACACGCGCACACGCACGCGCACAGGCGCGCGCCGGCCGGCCCCGCGCGGCGTTCCTCAGCGAGCCGGGCGTCCTCACACGCACCCGGCCGGGGAGCGCGGCCGCGGGCGTCCCCGCCCATCACAGCCAGGTCCTCCTCACACACCCCCGACGGAGGGCCGTGGGGAGCACGCACGCCGGCCTACAGAGGCGCTTCCGCCCAATGGCACTGGCCGCCAGGGACCCACACACGCTCCACGGAGGGCAGCGCACTCCCGGCCCACGCCCACTCGGACCTCCCGGTGGCGCGGGCCCGGCGCAGCGCGGAGCGAGGCTCTCACACACACACACGGCGTCTCCCACGCGCGCCTCACGTCTCCCCGGTACACACCTCTCCGGTCTGGGCACGGAGCCCCCCGGAGGCGCGCACACGCCCGTGCACACGCGCGCACCCCACACACCCCCCGGCCGGCCTCCCCCCTGAGCGCCGCCACTCGGCGCCGCCAGCCCCTGCCCGCCTCGCCCTAAACCGCGGGCCCGCCCGCCCCGGGCCTTCCCGCTCGCGCCCCCACCTCGGCCCCGACTGCAGCCCCTCCCCATTCCCCCCTCCCGCCTCCGTTGAGCGGGAAAGCCACCGAGCTGCGAGCAGGGACGTGTGTGTGTCCGCGTCTGTGTAGTTTGGTGTGCATGGGATGTGTGTGTTGCGGGCGTGTGTGTGATTATTTGGGTACGTGGTGGGTATGCGTGTGTGGTGGGTGTGTGGCTAGTGTGCGTTCATGGGTGCGTGGTGGGTGGTATGCGTGATACCAGTGACTGGTGAGGTGTGTGTATACGTGTGTGTGACATGAAGGTTGTAACTGAAGTGGAATGTGGGCGTTTGTGTGGTTGAGTGTGTGTGCTGTGCGGATATGTGTATGTGTGTAGTTGGGCGTGCATGTGCTTGTGCACGTGGTGGGGGTGGGTATGCTTAGTTATACGAGTATTCGGTGTGTGTGTGGTGGGTGTGGCAGTGCGGCGCGTGTACGTTCATGGTGTATACGGATCAAGTGTGTGTGGCACACAGGGGTGAGTGGGCACACAAACGGGACTCATGTTTGCGGAGGACTCTACCTTTGTGTGTTAGTGCCTGCCCTGGCCGGCCGGTGTGGCCGACCCCGGGGTGACCGCGGCTTCCCCACGCAGTCGACTTGCACTCTTCCCTCCTGGGGACAAGTTGCTCCAAATAGATTTTCCATGCCAGGCTCTCCTGCTGAGATCTGACCCCAGGCTGGATTCAGTGAAGAGAAAACAAACCATTTGCTCCCAGGGCGCACTGCTGGGAATGAGTGTTTCCCTGCAAAAAGGCCAGAACCCAGCCTTGAACACAGAAAAGGAGGGGACGCCCCCTCCTTATTTGCCAAACGTTTCGCACAGCACAGAAGAAAGCTTGTTCAAGGAACAAGGCTGCCAGCACAAACACTGTGTGGGAATATGTTCTTGCCCCAGTCCACCTTCTCCTTTATGCCCTGCCTGCATTGCACTGACAAGAGGCTCGTCATGGCTTTGAAATAACCAAATTCATCCGCAAGCGCTGAGCATCCTTGCTGCCATAAGCAATCTTTCATAATTTTCCCTTTTATTTAACCTTGGCTTGAGAAGGGAAATGTAATTTGCATATATCTGACTCTAGTGAAATCTTCATTTTTTTAGAGGTTGGGGAGAGACTCAATTTGGCAGCAAAAGTCTTTTCCAGAAAGGTCTGAATCAAAATCACAAACTGTAGTTTCCCCATTAACCTGACGTTGAAACAGTTGCAAACATGAAGCATCATCTCATCAGCTTCCACCCAACTGCCCCCCACCTCAAAAAAATCCTAAAGGAATACATCTCTGACATAAAATCTATGCCCCCCGCTGCTAACTTCACAGTCTGACCTACCTCAGAATAACATAAGTAAAAGCCAGAGAAATCTTAATCAAAGAAATCCATACTCCATTATTACTGCAGCAACCGACCAAGAATTTTTCAAACAAATGGGATTTTCCATCTGTTCTACCCTATGTTTCTCTTTCTCCAACCTATAAACTCACTCTAATACTGCCGGTATCCCAGAAAGCCTTACAACAGCGTCCTCTCTGTGTTTCAGTAACTAATACTTGAACGGGATCCTTCCCCTGGCCTTGACCCTAGGGTGAACCATGTGATAAGATTCCACAATATATGAAACATAGCATTTCAGCTAGTAAAAAATGAGCATGAGAAAGAATGCAATACAGCACTTTAGCTGGGAGGCAAGATAAATTATCCAAGCACCTTATTTTAAGGTAGCCACATGATTTGAAGTTGAGAAGCCTTTACATTTTCTGCACCACAAAACTCATTCCATCTCCTTGCCCTAAAGATGTTATTGACTTCTGTCTGGTGTGGAGGAGGAGGAGGTAATTGCTGTGACCTCTCAAACATATACACACGGCTTTCGGGATGTGTTGTTGGGATCCAATTTTTAAAATTTTTATTATGAAGCTTTCCAAAACACCCAGACATAGAGAGATGAGTATAACACCCCCCCATGTACCTATCACCCAGTTTCAACTATTCTGAATGCATTTAGAAAAACTTGTTTCCTTTACAGCTCCACCCACTCCAGGCCCCCAAACTATCCACTGGATTATTTTGAAGCAAATCTCAAACATCGAATCGTTTTATCCATAAATATTTTGGCGTATATCTCTAAAGGAAATTTTAAAAACTCTAACCCACAATAATAGCATAATAGCATACAATTTGATCATAAAGATAAACTTGTCCCATAGCTGCTGACCATTTCTCCAGGTCCCCTTTAAGAATGCTACTTCTGGCTAGGCGTGGTGGCTCATGGCTATAATCCCAGCACTTTGGGAGGCCAAGGTGGGTGGATCACCTGAAGTCAGGTGTTTGAGACCAGCATGGCCAACATGGTAAAACCCTGTCTCTACTAAAAATAGAAAAATTAGCTGGGCATGGTGGTGCGTGCCTGTAATCCCAGCTACTCAGGAGGCTGAGGAAGGAGAACCACTTGAACCCAGGAGGTGGAGGTTGCAGTAAGCTGAGATCGCACCATTGCACTGCAGCCTGGACGACAGAGTGAGACTCTGTCTNAAAAAAAAAAAAAAAAAAAGAATGCTACTCCCTCTGCCTGGAACATTCCCCCTGGCCCTGGCCCTGGCCCTGACTTCCCCAACTACCTCTTCAGTTTAAGATTATCACTTCCTCAAATAATCTTTCTCTGACCGGTCCAGACTAAGTTATACATGCTCTCCATTCAGGTCGCTTATCCCAATTTTAAACGTAACTAAAGAAGGAATTCTTCAATTAATGTCTTTCCCCATCTCCCTTCCCAGACACAAACTGTATGCTCTTTGAGGACAGGAAGGTTGCCATCTTGTTTTCAAGATTTAGCACAGAGGATAAATAATTGTTGAAATAGTGAAAATAAGTTTCATCTCAGTTTCGAAAAGGCTGGGAGAGATTCTTCTTCAGTAAATTGTTTGCAAGTGTGTATAAATAATTCATATAATTACTCTTCTTACTGCTGTCCCTTGGATAGTCACCTTCCACACTGACTCTGAGCTTAGCTGTGTTCGTTCCCTATTGGTCTGTAACAAGTCACTCCCAAATTAAAACAACACACAGTTTCTGAGTTAGAAGCCAGATGTAACTTCAGTAGATCCTCAGCTTCAAAGGCTCCCACAGAGCTGCAAGGAAGACATGGGCCAAGGCTGCTTTCTCATCTACAGGTTCGACCAGGGAAGGGTCTGCTTCCAAGCTCACTCACTCACAGTTTGTTAGCAAGATTCAGTTCCTCAAAAACCGGTTGTTTTTCACGGTTGTTTGGCTCCCCATGGCCCTTGTCACAGGACGGTCCATACATGGCAGATTGCTTTCGCAGAGTGAGTACGTCTTTAGAAGAGTCAGAGCACCACAATCCTTTACAACCTACTCTCAGGAGCGATATTCCCACAATCTTGTCAGAGTCTACTCATTAGAAGCAAGTTGCTAGGTCCAGCTCCACGCACAAGGAGAAGATTACACGAGGGCAGGAATGCCAGAAGGCGGGAATCGCTGAGAGCCATTGCAGAAGCTGCCTGCTACGCCATGTGACTTGCTTCAGCCAATGAAAGAATAGTGAAGACGGTATAGGAAAGCTTTGCACAGAGCACTCTCATTGAGATTTGCCCTTTCCTTCTGTGTTGGAACCCTGAGACCACCATGTGTACAAGTCTGAGCCAGCCTGCTGAAGGATAAAATGCTTTGTGAAGGAAAATGAGGTGCTCCAGTTGGCGAGCAGCCAGTCAATCCCCAGCCAAGGTTCTGTCAACCACCAGAACGATGAATCGGGCTATGCTAGATGATGCTAGACTCCCCAGCTCGTCACAGAAGCGTGAGAGTCCAGCAGAGACCTGCTGAGCCAGTCCATACCAGGATGACCGCCATGGTCAACCACAGAGTCACAAGCTCCATAAAATGGCTATTATTTTAGGCTGCTAGGATCTGGGTGGTTTCTTACACAGCAAAAGCTAACTGATACATCCACCAATTCTTTCAGAAGGTTATAGACAAAATAATTGAGGATTCAAGGGCTAAGTGACTCAATGCCATGGTGCAGCAGGCATGGTGGGAAAACCCCTTTAGGACCTAGCATCAGAACAATATAAATAGTTCAAGTCTAAGCTCTGTCATTTTCTGGCTGGAAGACCTTGGCAAATCCTTTATGCTTTCTGTGCTTCAGTTTCTCTATCAACAAAAAAGAGCCCAGAACTTTCTCTAGAACATCTTTTAGTGTTCAAAGTTAAGACCTGTCTGCTTGGTTATAGAGCTGGGATTAGAATTCTTTTGGTTCAGCTGTCATTTGTGAATAGTCCAATATTCCCTCACTATTCGATTGCATATATTGGTCTGATGCTAATATGAGTTGTATATGTGCACACCAACCATTTGGAACACTTTGATAAATCGAGTCATTACAATTCAGTTACTTTTTGGT